ACCTGCATGTAAAAGCAAATAATTTATAAAAAAAAAGAAATAGAAGCGAGACTGAAAACTTGCGCTAATAAAAATTTATATAGAAAGTATTAAAAAAAAATTTTTATGAAAAGAAAAATTACAAAAAAAATAAACCCGACTTTATAACTAAAAAAAAACAAATTTAAACAAAGAAAAAAATGGCAGAGGCTTTTAAAATTATAAAAATGGACTGAGATAAATCTGGATCAAAATTTTCAAATTTTTAAATATATATTATATATATATTACAGAAAGAGTGAATTATTATAATAGATTTTTCATTGAGTATAAAAATATTGTTCTATAAGTGTTTTAGAAAATATGTACGAAATGATTTTAACAGAAAACAAAAATGAGTGCAAAGCTCTCGATCGAAAAAAAAAATTGAAAAAAGGAACTCCTGCGAGCGCGAGTTTTAAGGGTGTGCGAGAAAGACAATAATTAACACAGCCTTAATTGATGAAAGTATTTTACAGCACGGAGGCTGCGCGTTCCTTGTGATCTTCTTGAATATCTCAAAAAAATTCACGTTCAGGATCCTTTTTGTTTTTTTGTTTTTTTTTTTGACCGCGAGCTTTTCTATAGAAAAAATTGATAAATTAAAAATATTCCTAAAATAGTTAAACTGTAAATGAATTGATTAAATTTACATGTTCAGACGAATTTTCACTAATTTCAAATTTATTAATTAAAAAATTAGTTAATAAGTGAATTAAACAATAATTAATTAGTTAATTAACTAGTAATATGAATTTAATAATTAACTAGTAATCAATTAAATAATTAATTAATTAACTAATAATTAATTAACAATCAATTAATAGTGTGATTAATTAATAGTTAATTAATATAGTGATTAATTATTAGGATAATTAATTAATAATGCGATTAATTAACAGAATAATTAATTAGAAATATTATTCATTAATACTGTAATTAATTATTAATTTAACAATAGGAATAAATATTATTCAAATTTTTTTATTTTACATTAAAATTGTTTATTCGAAACAAAAAATTTTCTGTGAAGAAAGAAAGTACGTTAAACTCGAAACAAACCAAATACAAGAGTGTATAAGTACAAAAATTAATTTTCACGCTTTAAAGACAGAAAAATTGTATTATTTTTTTAAATAATTAATTTTAAGAATAGAATTTTTTCATTAGACATCGAATAATAGATTTTGTAAAGGAGAAATTTGTCATTTAAGTATAAATATTGAAAAATTATTTAAAAAAAGAAGAGTAAAAGAAATAATTGAAATTATTATAAATAAAAAGAAATTGAAATAAATTATTATTCCAAAACGCAAGGATCGCGCAGACATTATAGCAAAATTTATTATTACCACATACAAAAATTAACGAAAAAAAAAGTTTAATCCTTATTACTGATATTTAATGTATTTAACTTGTTAAGTTGTTATTTATTTAATAGTAAAAAAATAATTATTATTAACAATTATATTATTACGTAAGTGGGTTATATAAATATTCCAATAACCAATATTTATGGGTTCGTGGCCGATCGACAAGATTATTTATGCTTCCTTATAAATGGCCTACCTTATCAATATTATTATATATCTAAATCATTATAAAAAAATAAATAGCAAATAACACGAAAAATTAGCAAATTAATTAATACGTATTATTAATTAAAAAAAATAGAAGAAGAATTAGATTCAGTGAACGAAAAATATATTATATTATGTGTAAAATGATTCAAACGGAGTGATAAATTATGAAAGAAATTAATTAATTAGACAACTACCTAATTGATTATTATTAATTAATTAAATAAAACACAACAATTAATTAATAATCATTTATTATTAATCCAAAATGTATTAATTGCAAATTAACAATTAATTAATAATCAACTAATCATTGATAATTAATTAATAATCAATAATTAATTAATTAATAGTTATTAAATATTTCATGAGGAGTAAATTAATTCTCCTATAATTCAAAAAAAAAAGTCTTTTCGTTATTGAAAAAAATAATTACTATATTATACAAAAATGTTATTGTTGAAAAATAAGATCGCCATCGTTTACTTGGCCTAAATAGTTAATTTTAGAATTATAAAAAAAATTTAGAATATTGTTAACTATATACGAAATGTTGAGAAAAAATTGCAATTATTATAATTATCAAAGAAGTTATAGTGATTTATATAAATTTCCATATAATGTAAAAAAAAGTAATTTGCACCTTAGTTTTTGCAAAAAAAAAAAATAATCTATAAGTGGAAAATAAAATTTTTATTTATTATTTATGAAATTGTTTTTACAGTAAATTTATTTATTTGTCGGTCGGACGATAAGTTCTTCACAGCGAAAAATAAATAGTAAAAATAAATTTTCAGTCAAAGTGAACCATTATTCGAAAAAAAAATTGTTAATAGCGAAAGAAATTACAATATCATTTGGCGAAACATTTTTTTGTTACATTGCTCGTCTACTGTCAAACATTTATAAATTAAATATTAAATAAATGAAGCTAATGAGATTAATTTAATTATTACAAATTTAATAAATAAATTCAAATTAGTTTAATTATTGTTAATTTTTTTAAAAATATTTAAATGATTAAAAATGAAATAAATATTAAACAATAAAATATTAAATAAACATTAAATTAATATAATATAATTCTTTTTTTCAAAGAGAAAATAAATTTCGAATTTTAAACATAAAAATAAACGGAAAAAGTTGCTAAAAATAAATTAATTATACAATTGAACAGTAATAAATCGAAAAATGTTTAAATTTAAAAAAAAAAAGTCAATAAATTAATAGAACGGGTTTTTTCATAGTCATAATATAATTTTTCGTCAATCACATATCTTCATATTAATAATCTAAAAATTATACTCTACAAATATGCACTAGTATGCGAAAATAAAGTGAGCCACTAATTTAAAATGCAAAACAAAAAAAAAATTCTTCATTACCTGAGTGATAAATATACAAAACTACTAATTTTTGAAACAAAATTTTTAGCTAATTAAAAAAAAGTTTAAATTAACGAAAAAAAAATCTTAAAATGTCAATAAAATATCTCATGCCCTTAATAAAAAAAATATAAGTAATACCCGCAGAAAAAAAAAAGATTACCGAAATTTTGACAAAAAAAAAGTATTGAAGTAATTTCAAGAGAGAATAAAAAATCGAGAGTGAAAAAAAGGAAACAAAGAAAAAAGAATAGTGGAAATAATCAAAGAATAGAGAAAAGAATAGAAAAAAAGAGAAAATAATTGTAAGAAGACGAAATTGAAATGTGATGATGAGATAAAACAAGATTCGAAAAGTCAATATTCCTTTGTAGATTTTTACTAGAAATGGAAAAATATTTTTTCGAATTAATTTTTCCTCTGTGTTAATTAATATTATTATTAATATTATTATATACCGAGAGATTAATTCAGGAATTGGTATGAAAGTCAATCTCTAGATGTTATATGCGTGTAAGTGTTTTTTAGATTATTATAAGCGTCGATCAATTTTTCATGTGTCCTTATTAACAAAACAAAAAAAAAAGTAGCGTGAAATCAAAGTCAATATTTTCAATTTTTAGAGTGAAACAATAAAAAAAAAGAGAAAAGAAAGAAAAGAAAAGTTACCCTACGATTACCAATTTCTGAAATGGTCAATTTTTGGATTAGACCGAGTCCCAAGAGTGCGCTCACGATGAAAAAAAAAACAAAAAAAAAATCGACGAGGTCCGTTCTTATAAAGGAACTTCAGTTTTAGAAACAACTTTCTCAACTTGCATTCAATTTTTTCAAAAAATAAATCCAAATAAATAAAAAAATGGAAGAAATAAATAAAGTCGAAAATTAACTACGGAGAAATTTTCTTTAGCTTTCTTCAAAAATCGAATTTGTTTCTACTTTGCAAAAACTGAAAATATATTGTAATTTATAATTTATTAAAATAATTTAAAAATTTAATTTTTTGATGAGAAAAATTGAATGCTAATTGAACGTAAAAATATTGTTAATCCTGATGATGAATTTTTAGATTTATTATTAAAATATAATATATAAATGGCGATTCGCGAAAAATATGAATGTTGATGTATATATTTATAAATAATTGCAATTCTAATTAGATGCTAGTTTGCACAATATATTGTTATTCAGTTGAAATTTAATATACTGTACAGTAGTCAATTTCAGATTTGAGCCTCGTCGAGTCGCTATAAAAAAAAAAAAATTATTTGCATTCTCACGAAAGCATAAATCGAAAGCATCCTAAAGCGTCAATATCGTTAGTCATATATAGCTTAAATAGTTATGTACATAATTAATTGTTGTAACTGCGTCTTAAATGATGAACAAATATGTATACATATACCTCTATATATACAAGAAATAAAAAAACATACACACTGTAGTTGAGAAAAAAAAATAAATTCGCATCACGCACCATTTACGAGAAAAAAAACAGAAAATAAAATGTACTATTACAAATGAAAAAAAAAAAACGGAACGATGTAATATTACAGTTGGATTTTTAGTGACGAGAAAAAAAGACACTAGGTGTTATGTAATCCAATGTACTTGAATCGTTTAAAACAAATAAAGCTATTGCTAATTATTGCAGTCACAGACTTTTTTTATTATACAATTATTTTTACGTGAGTTACAAAAATGAAATTATCAACTAGATTAAAAATATATTTTTCTCATTTTCCCTCATCGATTTTACTGTACAAACATACACGATTTTTTAGTTCTTAATTTAAATACAAATTTAGGGGAAAAAAATGAAAAAAAAGTAAAAAAATGAGAAAAGAATGAGAAAAGAATTTAAAAAATGAAAAAAAAATAAAAAAAAATAAAAGCAATGGAAAAAAGAATAAGGAAAAAAGAATACAAAAAAAGACAAAACGAATAAAAAAAAGAAACAGAACGAAGGCAAATATTAATTTAACAATTAATAAATTATAAAGGAAAAAAAAATTAATTTAAATTTGGAATTAATTTAATGTTGAATAATGTAGTAAACTTCATGACATTGCATTGAGTTTGTAATAATAATTAATCGATAAATGCTTTAGAATATTGTTGGCATTTATGAGTGTGCAATGTGTTCACGTAAATGAACTCGAAATAAGTTATTGTCTATAAAAATTTCTTCACAAATATTACACTTCATTTCCTTCACTGGCATTTCCAAATGAATCTCTTTGTGCACATTAATTTCGTCCATTGTGGAAAATTTCAATTCACAATTGTTACAGGGAAATTTTTCCAATTTTTCCTCCTCGACTTTTGGTGATAATGAATTTTCCAATGTCTCCTGTGGTGGATCCATATTCCTGGTTGAAATTCAACGATTAATTCTTATTAATTTCTTTTTTATTAATTAGAAATAAAAAGTGTAATTCATGTTTGCTGTCTTTCGAAAATACCGTTTGGGAAAAAATTAATAAGATAGAACAAAATTCAATAATTTTTTAATACGTATAGTTTTTCTTGATTTATTAAAATTGAAAATATTTATCTTACGATTATTTTGGAACGTAAATTTTTATGTATACGGAAAGAGAAGACAGCAAAAATAACAGGCCTCGGATCGAATATAAAGCGCAAAAAAGTCGCTTTAGTCGATTAAAAGTCGTTTAATTTATTCAGTTTTGTCACAAAAATTCCATTTTCTATTTCCCTGGCTTTTTACTGATTTCTAAAATTTACTGATTTAATATTAACTTATTAAAATACTCCTTATTTATTTTTCAAAAAAAAAAAAAAATTAAAACTTTTTTAAATTTGAATTTCAAACCTTCTAAAATTTAATTATTTTTAAAAATCACAACTGTAATCATCCTTACAAAATTCAATTATTTTCTACAATTTAAAATTAAAATTCATTTTAGAATCAATTAATTTTAATAATTTTACGACAGTATTTCGAGAATTCAATTACTTAAATATAAAAATCAATTTTTTTAAATAATTGTTTTTGACATTTTTTATTTAATTTAATTTAAAAGTTTCAGTTTTAATATAAAAGTTATTAATGTAAATAATTGAAAATATTTTAACAAAAATATTGAAAATAATTAATTTTTAAAAAATTGTAATAAATAAATTCTTTAAATTCACTTTTTCAAAATATTTTTAAATAATTATAATAAGTCTTTAACGTCCGAGTTAAATGTCTTCCTTTTTCTTTCTTATTATTTTAAAATAAGTTTTTAAAGATAATAGAATTTTCAATTATATATACAGTAGAAAATTTCGCAATGTAATTGAAGTTCGGTAATATTTTTTAAAATAATTGAATATTTTGAAAATATAAAACATATTAGCAAGTTTTTGAAGAATTTTAATTATAATTATTAAAATACGTATTTAAGAAACTGATTAATTTTTTGAACAATTTCAATTGAAAATTTTCCAGATGATTTTTATCTCCAAAATTTCAATAACAATTTAAAAAAAATATAATGTTGTTAATTTTTCATTATTATTTTTTATAGTTTTTAATTTAAGTAATTTATAAATAGGTGATTTTTGTAGATATTTGAATTTTTCGAAATATGTAGGAAAAAATATGGAAAATAATTAAATTTTAAAAAATTAGTAGTAAAAAAATTCTAAGAATTACATTTCTAAAAAATATCTGAATAAAATTCTTGGAATCTAATTTTCATTAATTTTTAATTTTCATAATTTTTATTTGAAGATTTTTCATTGAAACTATTGAGAATTCAATTATTTTAAAAATTTGTAATTAATTTTCTTCAAAATTTGATTTTCGAAAATTTTTAATGAAATACTTAAATCAAAGTCAATTAGTTTTAAAACAATTTTACAAAATCTCAATTATTGACAAATTTTACAATTATATATTTCAAAAATTTAATTATCTTAAAAAGTTTATTCAAAAATAATTTTTGAAAGATTTGATTTATTTTTTGCGATAGAAAAATCGAAATAAATAGTATTTTATACCAGAAAAGTGATATTTTGTTGTAGTATTCGGAAGAATAGTCGAAAATGTCATACTATTCGAGGCCTGTAATAAGAAAATTAAATCATTTGTTTTCATTCATTAAAATATTAAAAATAAAAATATCTTTCGATTATTATGAAATTAAAATTTTTATATATATACGGAAAAAGAGAAAAATGCACATTCGTGAATTTTACAACATTTTTGATCAACGAATTGTTAGGAAAAGTACTTTTCAAAGCAAATTTTTATAATTTTTTGCTTGATTTTTTTTACAAAATTTTATCAATTTCTTGAAAAATAAAAATTTGTAAAACCAAAAATTATAAAAATTATAAAAAAAAATTTAATAATTTTTTTTTAGTAAAAAAATTAGAAAAATGTAAAATACTTGAAGAATTGAATAGAAAGAAATAGAAAAGAAGTGAAATTTACCTCGATTGGTTTTCGATGGAAATTGATTTACAATCAGGAGTTTCAAAAGGAGCCCAAAGCACTTCAGGTTTAATGCCATGCATCGTGAAAATATGATCTTTCACCAAATCCCTAGTTTCAAATGGTAAATCGCAAATATCACAAGGGTAATTTTCTACATTTTCCTCTTCCAAATCAATTATTTCATTCACCAGACAAATACTATTCGTAATTTTTATTTGATTCTCCACTTTTTTCTCAATAGTCTTCGCCTCTTCCTTCTTCTCAATTTTCTCCAATTTCCCATCTATTTTCTTCTTTAATTCATTCTTTGGCACTTCTGTTTTCTTTTCCTTCTGACTATTTGATGTTCGCAACAAATTTTTTATTTCTTTCGATTTATTTCCCACGTTTGATAAATCCTGTTTATTTTTCAATTTACTACTCAAATTTGCAGTTTTCCTGATTTTTTCCTTTTGCATTTGCAATAAATTAGAGACTTTTTTCGAATTTTTTAATACTCTCATCATATCGTTAACATTTTTCGTCTTATCCTGTAGAGCTTTAAGTAAATCTTTCGCTCTTTTCTTAGTCTTTCCTATTTTTTTCTCGTCATTATTTTCCTCTTTTGATAGTTTATCTTCATACTTCTGCAACACCTCGTCGGATATTTTTAATAAGTTTATTTCCAATTTATTTTTCTCCTCCAATTCGTAATTTCTCTTGCACTTGATACACTTGATAATTGTACCACCATTCAAAGTTATTTTTGTGAATTGACAACCATTTTTACATTCAGTTTTTTTTGTAATATTTTTGTCATTTAGATGATTTTTTTTCTTTTCTTTCAATGGTTCCGTTTCTGATAAATCTTCTTTACTAACATCAACAGCATCTGATGCAGAATCGTCATCCCAAAAATTTGACGAGACATCGTCGTCTTCAGAATCATCACAGTCATCGATATCTGGGTAAATATCGTTAAATTTAATAACCGACTCGTCGTCTGAATATGGTAATTGTACAACACTTTGTATCGAATTTCGATAAATATTACCACATTTTTCGCATTTATAATTTTGTGAATTATCGTAAATTATTCTTGTCAATTCACAATTACCACCGCAAGGTTGAATATTTCCATTATTTGTAAATATCAAATGTTCCGCAAGTAGTTTCATTGATACTTTCGATTCTGAGAGAATTAATTTTGTTGAGTGAGGGATAAATTCTATTTCCTTGTCTAAACAATAAATTGAATTGGATATTTCCTGATTGGATTTATTTGTCACGTTATAGATATTATTGCAATTTATACAACGGAATTGGGTATTTTTATCGCATGTTTCTTTTTTCAATGCGCATCCTTTTTTGCAACGTTTATCCGTGGAATTTGTTGGAAGATCACTGGATTTTATTTCTTGAGAATTATTCCGTGGTTCTGTAATATTTTCATTCGTTTCAGAATTATCGGAATATATTAAATACTCTGCTTCCATTTCTTCTTCTTCTTCTTCTTCTTCATCGTCGTGTTTGTTTATTTTTTCTCGGTGGTCTTCTTGATTTGAATTTTGCAGAAAATGTTTATTGGAATTGGAAAAAAAATATTTTTTTCTATCTTCTTGTTGGGGAGTAGTTTGCAATTTCTTTTGATTCGTTTCAATTGTCTCGTCATCATCAGAAATTATCATAAATTCTTCTTCAGCGTCTTTGTGTAAAGAAGTTTGCAATCTATCCTCATTAATCTCTCCTACAATCTCTTCTGTCTCACTTTGGTTGGAAAATACTAAATATTCTTCTTTTCGATAAGAGGCATTTGAGGGTTTTAATTTGTCTTCGTCGTCAGAAAATTTTAAATACTCCGCTTCATAATCCTCTTCATCGAGAGAAGAATCTGAAGATTGTAAACTATTTTGATATGATTCGTTTTTTGAATTTTGACCCAAAAACCTTAAATTTTCGTCCTGTTTTTCCTCCTTTTGATAGTCATTTGAATTTTCTTGTGTATGCCGATTCGTTTCAGGTACAAAATCAAAGTATTCGAAATTTTCTTCGTCTTCTATTTCAATTTTATCTATTATTTTTTCCTCTTTGCCTTCTTCTTGATCTGCTTGTTCTGCTTCTTTTTTTTTTTCTTCTTCTTCTTCTTTTTCCTCTTTTCTTTTTCTCTTTTCACTTGCATCACTAAAATGTTTCACGACACTTTTCTGATTTTCATTTATATTTTCGCCATTCTTTTGTACAGTTGACTGGATTTTTTCAATATCAATTACCAATCGATAACGAACAATTTTCTTTGAGTCTATTGATGTTTTTCGCAAATTATTTACAGTCGGAGTGATCATTGACGACTTTTGAGATTTCTTTTTGTCCTTTTTATCCTAAAAAGAAAATTTACAGTGAAAAAAATGATAAATACATGGAGAATTATTGGAAAAATAAAAATTGTAAAATTCATACAAGCAATGAAGAATCTTGATTCACTTCTAAAGAAGAATTTGGTTCTTCTTTGATTTTTTTAGTTGGCGGACCTTTAGATTTACGTTTACCAGATTGTGGAGTTTGTTGAAACTTTCTCTTATTTGGAAGATCTGTAATGAGACAAAATTATTGAAATTTTATTTTACAATTAGCAGAGAGTGTTTATATCGACATTAGTCAAAACAAAATCGATAAAAAACTTTTGTAATTAAAATACGGAAAAAGAACCAAAAATAAATAAAAATATAGAAATATAAAAAATGTTTTCAAACAAATATATAAAAACTATATTTAAGAGATAACAGTAGGCACTTGAAACAAATATGAAAAAATTGTGTGCGCGGTAAAAGAAAACACCTGAGACTATTTTTTGAGGTTATGTTATGAAATCAGGAAAATTATTTCAGAAAGTAGAGAAAAAAACTAAACTTACCAAAAATAGTCGGAATCGCTCTGGGCTTTAATCTCAAATCCCTTGTAATATATCGTTTTTCAAAATGCAATTCACATAATCGAAAGAAATTGTTATCTTTAACGTGCGAAACTTTCTTACAAACATTCTTCCAATGGTCCTGTAAGCTATTAGAAAAAAATCATTGCTCGTAATTAATTAGATCTGTAACAGGACATTTTATTGTTTATTTCAGAAAATAAAACAAATTTCCAATTACCTTTTATCTTTTGGATATGGATAAAATTTTATCTGCCGACCGTCAATTTGTGTTGACAGATCAGACTGACAACTCCAAACACTACAGTTCCAAAACATAATTTCTAAAAATTAATTCCAATTAATAAGACACAGCACTTGATAATCACATTTTTAAATACTTGATTGATATTCATTAATTATCAACAAAAATAACTGCCAATGTTATTGTTTATTAGAGAACAGGTTAGCCATGCTTATTTCTGTGATTGTACATTTACATCAAGTGACATCTACTGATCACTTTTGTAACTTATTATTCCTTCGTCGGTAATTTAAAATTTTGCGATTATTTTATTTTTTTTAAACTGGTAAATATTAATTTTACAAATAAAAAACATTTTCTTTGTACGAAAAATATTATAAACAACAATTTAAATTTGTTTTTTTGCTGTCACCTCTAACGGTAACTTTTGACTTCCCCACGGTCGGTACATTAACGAAAAATTCAAAATTAATTAAGAATTTAAAAATAAAAAATAGTCAAAAAATTGTTTATTAACATTGTTCTATAATAATATTATTAACATTATTATTAATTAAAAGTTTTGGATTGTATTTATTATTTTTTAAATATTTAATTTTCCGCAACGTCCAGTGCTGCCAACCGTTGGACAAACTCCAACATTCGGGATTTCCCTGCAGCTGTAATTGTTGAAAACTGTATTTTTTTATATCAAAAAAAGATTTATTACAAGAATATAACCCGAGATATTGGTTTTAAAGTTATGTAAAACAATTTTCCCCGGGTAATTAGCATAATTAAGTCATAAAACGCAATTTAATCTCTAGTTTTGTGCTAATTTGAATTCAAATGTAGGTTTACCGCCATATTACAATGTTATTTTGCAAAAAAACATTTTTATCATTAACTATTAATATTATTAACATATTAATTAATTAGAATAATAAAAGTAGTAAATAATAAAAAATAATAAGGATTATTATTTAGTGTTATAATTCTTTTATTCATATTATTTTTGAATTTATTTACATTAAGATAATAATAATAAATCAGGTAGTTTTAGGGTATTCCCCTTTCTTTTTTACAAAAAATACATTTTATCCCTTTATTCAAATTAAATAATAAATAATATTTGAATAAATTAGTATATAAATAAATAAAGGTACTTTTAGGGTAATCCCCTTTTTCACAAAAAATGTATTTTATCTCTTTATTTAAATTAAATAATAAATAATATTAGAATACATAATGTGTATAAATAAATAAGCTTTTCTAGGGTAATCCCCTTTTTCAAAAAAAATATTTTTTAATCCCTTTGTTTAAATTAAAAAAATGTATTTTAATATATTTTTCTAATTAAAAGTTCTTATTGTTCTTCACTATAAACGCTTCGCACTCATATCTACTAAAACCTACTATTTACTACTTTTTTACGTTATGCTACCATTTTGGTTCTTTTTTTAAATTTCAGCCACTTAAAGCTAATATTTCTGTTTTTTGTTGTTGAGATTTTACACTACTTTAAATTCGCTAATACTAGAAATGAAAAAACTATTCACAAAAATTATGATCAAATTCTTTCAAACGATTCAATTATTTTCAAAAAGTACCTAAAGTATTTTTTTTTTTAAACTTTTGATGAACTTCTAAACAAGAATTCAATTATTTTTATAAATAATAAAACTCGTCGAAGAATTTAAATTATTTTTAAATTTTAATACTATGTTAAGTTAATTAATCGAAAAATTCAATTATTATTTTCACAAATTAAGTCTTCCACAAGAATTCAATTATTTTTAAAAATAAAAAAAAATTTCACAGAAATTCAATTCTTTTTAAACATTTTAATAAAATTTTTCGCAAACATTAAATCATTTTTATAAATAATAAAATTCTTCTCAGGAATTGAATTATATTTGAAAATTTTAATAAAATACTTTGCAAGAATTCAATTATTTACAAAAATATTAGAATTTTCCACATAAATTCAATTATTTTCAAATATTTGAGTAAAATTGTGCAAAAGAAATCAATTATTTTAAATACAATATTAATTAAATTTTTTTAAAATCCAATTATTCTTTTCGATTTTAATAAAATTCTTCCCAAGAATTCAATTATTTACATAAATAATTCATCCAAAGAATTCAATTATTAAAGATAAATAACAAAACTATTCCCAAAAATTCAATTATTTTGAGGCATTTGAATAAAATTCTTTGTAAAATTCAATTATTTTCATAAATAACAATATTCATAACAAGAATTCAATTATTTTTAATGAGTAATAAATTTTTTTCTTGAAAATTCAATTATTTAAAAAAAATTCTAATAAAATCGTACCCAAGAATTTCAGGAATTTAATTTTAAAAAATTTAATAAAATACCACTTAGACATTCAATTATTCTCAAAAATTTTAATTAATTCTTTGTGAAATTTAATTATTCTAAAAAACTTTTTGCAATTCAATGATTTTCAATATCAGGAATTAAATTATTTAAATTAGAATTTACATAAAATTAGTCGAAAGAAATGAATTATTAAAAAAATTTTATAAAATTCTTCCCAAGAATTAAATTATTTTTATAAATATTTAAATTCTTTATTATGAATAATAAAATTTTTTTTGGTCATCAAGTTTATAATTTTTTGATAGCTACTATTTTACTAAGTACTTTTTTTTAGTTTGAAAGATACTTTTTGCTACTTTTTTAAAATTAATTATCAAGTGCGAAGTCTGCTATAAAGTATCAAATTATATAATTATTAAATTATAAAATATATAAAAATAAAATTATATTCATTTCTTAATAGTGGTAGTGACTGAATTTTTGCTATCGAATTAGTAAATTTACTAATAGTAATTTCTACTACTTTTTATTTCTATTTACTATTAGTAAAATTTACTAATTCTTAAAGGAGAAAGTCAGTCACTAAATCAAATTAGTAAACATTTTAAATTTTTTACTAATTCAAATTTAGGGCGATTGGAGTTTATACTCCAATTATTAAAATAATATAATCCAATAATTAAAATTAGTTTTTTATATATAAGAAAATGCGACAAACTGAAAATTAACTAAATACCTAATTATATAAAAATTTTTAAATCCTGATAAATATTTTAATTAAGAAACTCAAAACAATTTTATATTTACATGAAATAAATACATATTGTAAATGTTATAATATAATTTTTTAAACAGTTTTAATTGAATAATTTTTGAATTAAAACTTTTTTTTATTAAGAGAAATGTTAATTAAAACTTCAAAATACTATAATTTGTAAATAAATAAATAAATAGTAAAAATAAGAAGTAAAAATATTTTAATATGTAAACGAAAGTTTTTGATTATGTTATAGATGACGTCGAATTAGGCGAAAATAGAAAAATACTAAACGATGGTATTTTATGGACGTGTGTAGAAATTTAGTGATTCTTATTTCAATTAGTAGAAAACTTGCAGGAACAGTAGTTGGAGAATGAAGGCACACGATGGTTGACGGAATTGGCCTCATCGGTCACCAGGGAAGCGTGGAACACGTTGCAGCTCCCTTCCAGCCCGCTATTCTCATTTGCGGTTGCTAGACCAATTGCTATATTCGAGCAAAACCCTTTTGAGTCCGAAGCAACTTCGTCCTTTTTAACCCCCCTCATCCCTCCTCGTTTGCCTCTTTTCTCTATTCTATAGCAATTCATTTTCAACGACTCTCAGTCACACCATAAACCTCTTTAAACATATATCCACAGACACAGAGAGTGATAAATTGTTTGGTCCTTTCCTTAGAAAGTATCAGAGCACCCAACACACACACACACACACACAAATATATACCTATATATAAACTATGTGTATATATACGTTTGCCTAAGTGATATTAAAGTTTCAATTTAATCTACTTCAAGTATTCAATTTTCAATGGGAAAATTTACTTCTAAGTAAGAATTATTGGTGAATTTTTTTTATTACTGGTCTTTAAGAAAAATTTTTTATTAAATAAATTACGTGAATAAAAATGCTGAAGATTATTTAAGGGTTTTTTCATTTATAAAGTTAACTATTTATGTATTGACTTAATTATATAAAAGCGTTGCCAAGTTGTATATTTTTGTAATTCTCATTGTGTTCATTTCATAAATATTTGCTTCCTCAGGTCAGGGAATTCAGGGAAATCAGGACAAAGTCTGGGATTTTAATTAAAAGTAGTGGAAAAAATTAAATTTTTAGAATTCATAAGAAAATTTTGAATTTTGGTGACTTCTTTGTTTGTCACATAAACAACCTATATTAAAAAAGAAGTTATTGTCAGAAATTTTCAATTTTTTTTATTTCTAACAATAATTTCTTTTTTAATAACTTAATTCTTGCGAAGAACTATCATAAAATTTTTACTTATAATTTATTTAATGAATAATTTTACTCAAATATTTCAAAATTTATTAAAATTTAAAATAGTTACGCTTACAATTTTCATTAATAGATGAACTTCAAAAGGCTTTACTTTGAAATTTTATAAAATTTCTATTTTGAATGAAATTAATTAAAAATTTTAAAAAACATACATTTTTGAAAAATTTTAATAATTTAAATTTTTACGAAATTAGTTACATTTTTTAATCTACTTAATTAATTATTAAAAATAATGGATTTATAGAAGAATTTTTTTGCTCAAAAATAAAATTGAAAATTGGAGAAGTTAGAAATGATTGCGAAAATTCAATTATATTTTCAAAAGTCATAAAATTCATCGCAGAAATTCAATTTTGTTCAAAAATTTTCAAAAACTTTCCTCAATTCAATGATTTTTAATATCTAAAAAAATAAAAATAAAAATTTCACAGGAATTCAATTATTTACAAATTTTTTTACAAATTTCTTCGCGAAATAATTCAATTATTTTTTATAAATAATTAAAATTTTTAAAGAGGTTCAATTATTATCGCATAAATACTAAATTTTTTTTAGGAATTCAATTATTTTCATAAATAATAAAAAATTTTAAAGGGATTCAATTATTTTCATAAATACTAAATTTTTTTTTATGAATTCATCTATTTTTCATAAATAATAAAACTCATCGCAAAATTTCAATTAACAATTAACAATTTTAATCAAATTCCTCGAAAATGTAATTATTCTTAAAAATGTTTTATTAAAATTCGTCAAAAGAATTTCATTATTTAATAATTTGTTGATAAAATTCATAAAATTCTTTATGAGTATTACATTTTAAGAAACATTCAATTATTCAATAAATTATTTATT